TACTGTGCTCTGCTAGAAAGCCAGCCAGCTGAACACCTGTTTTTAATGCAAAATAGTGCATCACCCTACAGTTGGGGCACTGCGCTGGGTTTTTCACAACAATCTTAAATACTAAAGATGTGAATAGAGCCAAAAAATGTTTTGCTGTGAGCCACTTCTTTCCAGGCACACAGTGAGGCTGATAGTCTTGTCCTACCATTCTATCACATACCAAAAATCTCCTTAGTCTGGTCAAAAGCTTTTATTTCTTTTTTTGGGCAATAATCAGTTTAAACATTTCATAGAATCTTACAGACTTTATAATTTCCTTTCTGCCAAAAAAAGAACAATTTATCTCTCTCTTTCGATTACATCTCATCTTGCTGCTTTTATTTTTTTCTTCTCGTCTTTCATTATTTTTACTATTTATACCATATCTTTTTTATTCCATTTCTATTACCCTTACAATAGCCATGATATATAACAAAGCACTAAATCCTGCACTGAGAGATTTCATGATGGTAGGTCAGGGAGTTAGTACAACCAGATCCTTTCTGGGTGTAGACTGGCAGCCCATGTATCCTTTCTGCCTGAGATCCAGTGGCATGAGGGGCTGTGAGCCAGTGTAATCCCAGAGGATTATTTGGGGATTGGTTTTGCATCTGTAGAGAGATTGATCTCTCTCAGGCAGAACAGAGAAGAGAGAGGGATGAAGAACATTTTTTTTATGTTGAAAGAGAGATCTGTGTTCTATGCGAGGAGCCTGATATTTGCAAAGTACAATTTAATAGTTCCAGTTTGCATCATTTAGAAATGAAACTGAGCAGGGGAGGGAAATCTGCATGCAACCAGTTCAAGAAGGTGCTCAGACTAAGCTTGTTTGACAAAACCACCCAGAGGCCCTAGAAGAGGGTTGGATTTGGGATACCAAGCCCATTAGGTGTGGTGTCCATGGGTGACAATAGAATATACTGTGAACACCTAAGCTTGCATTAGTGTACATGTGCATAGCCAAGAAATACTTGGATCTGACTGCCTTATAATGGCTTTAGCCTTTAATGTCTACAATGATTTTTTCATATTTAGCACCTTAGCTGCCTTTTTATTGCTTCCATGGAGGAATCTGTAAGATTCAAGAGAGGAGATTAGGTAGAGAGCCAGCTAAAGAGCAAGACAGTGCCACTAAAGAGTGTTGGGGTTTACTTACATGATTGCTCCTCTTAAAATGAATAGAGCAAAATGTTCATAAAGGTAAATTGATAAATCTGGAGAATATTCTCTTTAAATAATCCACAGAGCTCTCAGCCTAACACACAGCGGTAGAAAACAGACCCTAACAACTGAACAGGATGTTGGGTTGCATTACGGTAAGAACTGAGTTCTTGTTATTGTTATTACATAAAACACTGGTGAGTTCTTGTTCAGAGTGCTCTTTTCAGTACTGCTCACTCTACCTAAGAAGGATATGATTAAGGGGATAAAGCAGGGAAAATGAGAATAATACTGTGCCTTTCAGCTCTGAGTTATAAAGCAAGACTGAAGAGGTTTGGTATTATCTTGTTTAAAAAGAGATCTTGCTGTGATTCAGTCAATGATTTTAAAATAATGAAGGGGATTAATTACATTGAAACAGACAAAGTCTATGAAAACAAGGAGACTTAATTTGAAAAATGGGATCTTGGGAAAAGAATGAAGACAGAGAAGGGAGAGGCTCATGTGAATGCTTCAAGAAATATGTAATGTCAGTTATCAGTGTGGTCCCATGAATCTAGATGTGCAGTGCTTTGAAGCAGAACAAGGTGAAGATAGAACTGTAAGGAAAATATGGGTATGACAGTTGGATTGTGGCCGACTGTTTACCAGTAACACACAGAGATGGTGAAAGCCATGCCAGAGCAAGCACTGGGCAACACCAGCAGCAAGGAGGAAACACGGTGCTGGAGCCTGTGGGGTAAGGCCCAACACAGGCAAAGGTGGTGCAGGAAGGCACTGGCTGGCAAGAAGTTTGCAGTGTGAAGACAGATGGCTGGCAGGTGAGGAGTTCGTGGAACAAGGTAGAGGAGAGAAGAGGGAGAAAGCATATGGCTGCTATTAATCCACCTGAACAGCAGACACCTAAGGTGAAAATGTTGGAGGCAATTTCAGGTCTTAGCTGGGCAGCATCATGCTGCAGAGGTGTCCCTGTACAATGGCTACAGTGCAGTGATTTTAAGCTTGCAGCCCACAAACTTTTGAAGGACTATAGCCAACTTTTCAGGGGCCTGTGGAAGCCAGCTAAGAAAAGCAGACTATTGTGGTTAGGCCTCATTGTCATGGCCCACAGGGAAAGTTCCTAGGAGATTTGAAAAATCAGTAAAGGCTGAAAAAATATGGCTGGAACATACGTATTTGCTGTGTAGAAGAAAGGGTACTCTAGTCTCCCCACTTGCATCTCCCCCAGTTCTTCCGCTCCTTGGCTCCACAGGGCAGGTGGCACAACCTCTGGGGTGTGCAGGAGCTGGGAAGAGGGTGCTTATTTCCATAAATCCTCTTTTATTTGTTTTGTGTGCCTTTATTTGTGTGTTTTGTCAGGAGGGGTGTGAGCCCACTCACACAATGCAGAAAGACTCCCATTCATGTTGGGTCACTCAAGTCAGACAACCTGGGCCCAATGGGGAAAATGAGAGAAGCAGGAGGATTTCAGGGCCAGAGTCCAAAACTGAGACCTTCTTTGGTCATGAAAGTCCTTGCTCCTCTGAGATTCAAAGAAAATCCATGCCTCAGGATGGATTTTCAAATCAGCTAAGCATTTGGATACCACTGAATATGGATATCCTATAGCCAGTGACTGCATTGAAAACTGCAGCCTGGTATCTGGTAGCTCTTTCCACTGCCGGTTACAAAGTACTTTGGTTTGTTGTAGAAGTTCAAGACCATCTGTGGTCTGGAGAGTTTATAAGTTCAGTGTTTATGTCCTGTACAGCATCAAGCAAGCCGGCAGCCCTCGGTGACTGAATAATGTTTAATGAACAGTTAATGAACAGGAACATAGTTTGAGAATACAGACATGGAGACAGACCTCCCAATGTTTTCTTTGGTGACCTCAGTGATGGAAGATGGAGCATGCTTATTAAATCTGTAGATGAGGCAAAGCTGGAACCAAATGCAAGAACACTGGAAGGCAGGATTAAAATGTCAAGTGATCTTGACAAATTGGTGATATGATCTGAATGAAATAAGATGAAACTCATTAAGGACAACTGCAGGGCACTATGCTTTGGCAGGAATAATTTTAACTAGAAAATACAGGATGGGGGAAAGTCAGGCTAGCAGTTCTACAGAAGAGGTGGAGAATCCCAAAGTAAACATGCGTTAACAATGACATACAGATGTCAAAAAGGCAAATCCTCATCAGGGCAGAGGTATTGCACAGAAGTATAGGTTATGGGTGCCATACTATGAGATAGATGTAGACCAGCTGGAAAGTCCAGAGGAGGATACCAAAAAAGGATCAGAACTGTGTAACATATGACCTACGGGGAAAGTCTGAAGAAGTTGCCATTGTTTTGCTTCTAGAAAGCAAGGAGAGGTGTTAAAATATTTTTAAAAGTACTTTAAGGAAATAAAGGTCTGTTCAAAGAGAGAAGGAATAGTCTTCTACATCCATAATGGAGAAAGTAAGGCATCATGAGCTTAAATTGCAACAAAGCAGACTGAGGTTGGATGCTGAGAAAAACTACCAGCACAGAGCGCAAATCATTGGAATATGTTTTCGGATGAGCACAGGGAGATTCTGTCTTGAGTTCTTTCAGAACAAGGCAGAAAAGCTTGTGCCAACAATCATGTGTAATGGATCCTGCCTTCTAGCAGGAAGAAGGAAGAGGGATTAGATAACTCTTGCAGTCCAGTCCTTCCTGGCTGCTTCCGAATGTATTTCTACTCTGGCAGGTTGGAGTGTATTAGACCTGGTGCTATTTGTGCCTTGGCTTTATCACACCTGTGTGAACCCCTGCTTTCCTGCGTTCTTGGTGAGTCTGGTAGAGCAAGGGTGTGTTCACCTGATTTGCTTGTGCAGATCAGCGCTTCAGTGCATGTCCAGTTAGGAGAATTTTTGCCTAACATCAAAGGTGACATAAATTATTTTTCCCAGGACCCAATCATACTCTATGTATAATTCCATTGGACATAGTGGATCTTGCTGATCTCTTGAGTCATCACATTTTCCATCTGCTGAATTATGTTTCAAACTGAGTTCTTTTATCCAGTATATTACTTTATAATACCCACACAGGTGCTTCACTCAGGAAAAATTCTCATCTAAGGTCAATGAATTTTGCCAGAGTCGTGACTTCTGGATCATATCTTGTACTTCACACAATATCCCTGTCTATCACGTTTACTGTATGCTAAACTGCTTGTGTAAGTCAGATGTTTCTTTAGTTCTATTCCATGTTGACTTCAGCTGTGATTGATTTATTCCAGGTCAAATTCAATAAATTTTCACACACTAGCTACCTCCCAGCTTAAAAGAAAAACCACCACAGTCCTCTAAAATTTTCAGTTTGGCTCAGGCTTGGTTTGACTCCCCAGTAAGAGATGTGTTACAATAACCTTAGTCATCTGATAATTTAATTTATAATAGAGGTCTTGAACTCTTACTGTTACTAACCTCTTATCCATCTCTTTTAATTTTCCAAGGTTCCTTGACCGCTCTGTTATATCATAATGAAATAATCTAGGCATTTTAAGAAGCTAGAAGGTGTTTATACACATTATTTTTGGTTTTAGATGGTTGTATCAATGACTACATTCTAACTTAATTCTAACATAATTCTAAAGCTCCACAAGGTTTTATCAACTAGAACAAAGCTGCTTTTCCTTTGGTCTCTTCCTCTTAATATCCACATGAAAAGAGGTCTCAAAAGTCCAAGGGATGGGCCTTTCAAAATTTGTTCGCCATGATTCTAACAACATTGTGACTCTCTTTTTCAGCTAACTACTGATTTCTGTAGTACTGTACGTGGTGCTGAACAGTTGAGATGGCATGTCAATTCTGGAGCTGGACTCCACTTACAGGTATGACAGTGCTTTTCTACCTTTTTGAGCCACCTTTCAAACTGAGAACATTGTAGAAAACAAAAAATCCCTCTTTTGCTGTATAATTTCATTTTTTTCCTTTGCAACTGAACAAAAATCAGACTAAACTTTGAATGTTCCTTTTATTGTCTGTATTTCCCCCCACCCCATGTATTGGCTGGCTTGCATGTGGTGTATATGTTTAAAGAAAAGATATATGTTTTCACAAAACAGTTTCTGATGTCTTATGTCTCAGGTGTGCCCAATGGACTAGGAAGCTGAAAAACACTCCAGACCAATAGTATTGTTAAACTGAAGACCTGGCCCTTGCCTCTTGGCTATTTCTCCTGGTGCTTCCATGCATTGTGGCTTTCCAGTACCCACCCTGCCTCTCCCATCTTGAACTGAATTGGTGAAATACATCCAAATAAGTTATTTAGCCCTAATTGCCTGGGCAAATCTTTAATTAACATGCTTATGCACAGGAATAAAAGTGTAGCTTTACATTTTGAAATATATTATGTCTGGTTTATAAGAACAGAACTGTTCAGATTTCTTTTCTCATAGCTAGTCCCTCTGATAAATTGAATGGATTATGTTTTTGTTGGCTGTCTTTGTTACCTCCATCACTGTGTTTCCAATTTATCAACATAGTTTTGAGAAATTGTTAGAATATGTTGCACTCGTAAGCACCATGGGGAGAAAAAATATTCATTTGTTACTGCTATTGTGTTTGATTATATTATGCATATCCAAAGGACTAAAATGAAATGTCATCTTTAATTCTCCCCCTACAGTAGACAATATCACCCTTTCTTCTTGCGTTCCAAAAACAGCTTGGAAGTTAATTCTTCATTTTCATTTTAAATCAGGCATACAGAGTAGAAGCAAGTGTGCATTAGGGACAGGGCAGAAGTAATGGGAGCCTGGAGATCTGAGCTCTGTTTCTGGCTCTGCCTTTAGCTCTTTGCAGTCTTGAGCAAAGTCATTTGACCTCTGGTCTCCAGTCTCTCTGTTCATGAAATAGGAAGAACATTAGCTTCCTACAGATGTCTTGAATACTTTGCCAGAATCATGTCTTGTCTAATCACCTGTGTTTAATATCTCCTAGGGTCTTGCAAAGTCAGTGAAGGCTGAAGCAGCAAATTTTGCATGCAATCAAAAATAAAATGCCCTTGGACAATTAAGACTTGAAGACTACAAAGAGCTTCTGAAGGGGCTAATACAAGCCAGGAAAATGGGTCAGAAAGCCACTGGTGCTGTTCAGTGCTGTTAAATACTGATAAATGATCTATCCCAGCCTGTCACAGGAGGGAATTTAATGTTTTGGGGACAAAAGGCTGAACCAGGCTCCCAGCACACAGCCTGGAGCTGCAATAAACTGCCAGGTCAAGCTGCACCCAGTTTGGCTGTGCACACATAGTTGAGGATGATCACCCAGATTAAGCGTCAGGGGAGCCTCAGAGAACTGCCTAGCGTTTTGTGTGTGCTGCAGTTTCTGATTGCTTTCCCAGGAGAAGGGTGAATTTGATGAAGTCTGTAGCCCTACCAGGAGGAGAGACCAGAGTATAAACCCCTTTTCTTGTTACCCTGTCAGACTGAGCAGAGGTTTCCTGAGGACTGACTCTGAGCAAAATGGCTGAGTGGTTGAGCATCCTAGGGTGAGTTGCGGGGAGCTTTGTGTTTTCCTGGGGGTGGGAGAAGGGAAGACGTTCCTGAGGGTGGGGGGAGACTGAAGGGAAAGGTGTTCAGGCTGATGTGAGCCAGCACTGGGGACAGAAGGTCCTGTTATGTCCCAGCTTCAGGCACTGAGGGTTTTTTGTAAATAAATAGTGGCTGTTTCTGAGCGGGCTTGGCGGCCCGAAGCTGCTGGACCAGCCCTTCTGAGCTCCCTTTGAGCCCAGAGAGTGTTGATCCATTGCCTGCTCCGCTGATCCATTGCCTGCTCCAGCTAGGTCTGGGACAGCCCAGGAGCAGCTGTGGGGCAACCCCAGGGAGGCTGCACCGAGCTGGAGTGTAAACTGCACCTCTGCCTCCTTGTGTGATTTGCTCCAGTGATTAATGACAGCGGCTGCTTAAAAACCTGGAGCCTCATTTGCAGTCTAAACTTGTCTGGTTACAGGCTCCAGCCAGGGGCTATTTATCTCTGTGTGCAGGCTCTGGAGGTGGGCACCGTGGGGGAAGGGGTAGGTCCTCACCCGCGGGTGGGGGATGAACCTAACCGTTTTCCCAATATCTTGCTTCCAGCTGCAGCATCGTGCAGGGATGGTGTTGCCCCTGAGGGGCAGAGGTCTCTGCCACTGCAGAGCCCACGGGGAAGCCCTGGGCCCCTAGGATATCCCAGCAAGAGACCTGCTTTCAGTGCCTTTGGAAGGCCGCGCAACAGCAAAGGTGCGGAGGAACTGTTGTGAGCTTGCAGGATCTGAGGGTAAAAAAATGAGGAAGACAGTTGTGTCATCTTAAAAATTAAACCCCTCCTTGTGGTGTTTGGCTCAGATGAGTTGCTTGCCCAGTCAGTGAGCTGGGTTCTCCTCCAGGGCTCGGAAGGGGACTCTGAAAGACCAGTGATTGGGGTCTGTGACAGTTACCAAATGGGGATGTACAAGGACTATAAACACAAGCTCAGCTGCTGTATACAGAGGGAGCCTTGCAGCTGGCTCCCTTCTTGGGGTTCTGCCTTTGTGAAACAGCCACATCCTTCCACGACTGCAAAAATGTTCCTCCTGCTGGGGCTGGCTGTGCAATTCTCTGAGCTCGGAGCCATCCTGGGTGCCAGGCAAAGGGTCTGCAGGAGGTGGTGGCAAGGAGAGCGCTTACATGTGTTGCCAAAACGAGCCGGATGCACATACTGAAGCAGAGATTACTTTTTCACTGGTTACCTTGTGAATGAAGCATCTTAAAAATTATTTATTTCCTACTTTATCAGTGTAACTGCCGCAGTGTGAATGTGGCAGCAGGCGCCAGCTTTTGGACCTTTAGGCCACGCTGCTGCAGGGCAGGGGGTTCCCCTCGACCTGGCTCTTGGCTCATCAGGGGGACAGAGGCCCTTGCGCCCCGTGCCGGTGGTGCTGGGGGGCTCGGGCTCCCCCCCGGGGTGCTCCCCGCCTGTGCCCGCAGCCG